CGCATCTGTATCTTATTTTGAAGGGATATGTAAATGTTACCATAGTGATCAGAGTCAAAGAGCGCTAGGGCAGTGGTCGAGACGAGATGAGAGGAGCTTGTGAGTTATAGGTCTGGTTCACGAGGCACGATTTAAGGATTGTCGGCCGATTATCCAAACCTCTGTGACCACACATGACACGAACCGATAAAAGTCCAACGAACATTCCGATTCCAGAAGACAATCCAGTGAAACCGCCAAAATACCATTCGTGAATTTAGAATAATCAAACACGGATGACGATGTAGAAGCAGAAGTGATAGTTTGTGGACTCATTTTAAGCAATAAGACATGAAAAAAGAAAAGGCGTTAAAAGAAGGTGGGAGCAGTCACTCTATTTTCTGTACTATGATTTAATGGTGAGTTATGTTTTTTTGTAGTCAACATTTTTAACTGAATAAGCCGTTAAAAATGTTAAACCTTTACATCTAAAGGTTATATAAAAATGACCTTTAAATATAGTCATAAACATTGCCACATATCACCTCCGATGTCCACCGGACTCTCAGTTGTGCCACGTCAACTGTTTGGGATTCCTCTCCATTCTTGCATCACTGCGCTTTCTGGTTGGCGCTTTCAACAGCCTGTTGAGTGTTGTCACATTCAACAGGCTGTGTTCTCGCTCCCAGTCAGGGAAAAACCCACAGGTTATGTTGAATATGCCCGATTCTAGAGCGGGCATATTCAACAGACCAACACGTAACACACCACACACTGGAGGACGTTGTAAGATTGGGGCAAAAATCTTACAACGTCCTGCAGTGTGGGGCAAAAAAAATTTAAATAAAATACAAAAATAATAAAAATAGGCTTCAGCGGGAACAGGCAGAAGGATTATCTGATGGTTACTTTCCCCCCAAACCCCCAGAGCAAAATTGGGGATCACTGATTTATACCACAGCAGGTACGGAAAACCACAAATGCAAAAATTAAATCGTATAAATCTATTCATGTCTTCATGTTAAATAAATAAATATTACTTTTTATGTAAGTATTTGTCAACTTGAGTCAACGAGAACTGATCTGATCGTTTCCACAGCAACGATCAGAAGTCCAGTGAGCTCACTGATGAGGTCATAGATAACAGGGCCTGTTCTTAGATCATATGCATCACAGTAGATCAAAGAAGTTCTGATGCTTAAATATGTGAATCTCAAAAAATCAGTCAGATATTTACGGCTCTTGGCGATTTAGATTTGTGCGACCAACGATGTTCTCTGTTTCAAACAAGTTTGTTACTTTTTTTCTTCCTCTCGGTTGGGGCGTTGGATTTACCGTGACCACAGGGTTAAAGAAGGTGCTCAACCACTACTTTCCAGGGAACGATTCTAACCAGGCAGGGGAAGATTTTAACAATCAGGATCACGAGGACGTTCCATCCAACGGCGGAGAACAAGCCAACCCGACTGGGGAGGGTTGTTCCGAACAGGCGAGGGGTGACCATGGGACCTCAAACTCGACGGTCGCAGGTCCCCTCTTGCCCTGGCCGGGGAGAGAAGCAGAACCCCGTGCTGTATGGGTGGCGAGAACAGCTTTCCCCGGCTTCTTCTCCCCGGTTGGGGAGGTGTTTGTTCTCCCCAGGCGTAGAGTACACCTCTGTGGTTCGATAATGTGAACAAACCAACCAACATCTGATATTGCTGCGATTGACACTGTACCTGATTAGGAACCATTTTGAGGCTGGAGTAATCTGACTGGGACCAAACGTGTCTGACTTCAATTTATGGGACAGAAAGGTAAAAAGATTTGACAGGTTTCCGCTCCGACTTCCTGCCTTCAGTCTGAAATCATAACTGTTAAGTTAATAGGTCTCTAAATTCTGTTAGTGTGATTAAAATATTTATTTTTGTAATTAAAATCGTTCCCTGGGTTTTAATTCCTGCCTGGGTTCTTCTGCCTTTATGGGTTTGAATGTTCTCCATACCTTTTCTTAGATCATAGCAACGAACGAACGGAGCGACGAATCTTCCCGTTTTTAATGATATGCTGAATAGACACGGGGCCCCATGTTTTCATTTCTAGTCTGCGATGGTAAGCGTCACTTTTTTAGTGCTAAAATAGAATAAACAAAGTAAAGTCTGATTGCTTTGTGTTACCTGGCTGATTTGCTGCTCGTGTGCTTGCACATTTTTGGTCTATCAGTTTAGAATACATGATGTTTTTCACAACAATGGGCAGACCGGCTTCCTGCTACAATCTAAAATCATAACTGTTTAGTTAGCGTATTTTCAGGACTATAAGTCGCAATTTTTCTCATAATTTGGCCAGGGGTGCTGTGATTTATACTCCGGACCGACTTATGTGTGAAATTATTAATACATTATCATATCACATTGCATGTTATTTTTAACCTAAACTGCAAGACGGCGCTCTAGGCCTTTGTTGAAAATGTGTATGGTAGAAGCTACCTGTGGAATTAGCGGAGTTGTTTACAAGTGACACTGAGGATGAAGATTTCATTACATTTAGTGATTTGAAGTGACACGGATGGTATGGTAGACTTGTTAGCATGTCATTTATGCTATAGTTATCTGAAAAACTCTTAATATTTATGTTAACACACCAGGCACGTTCTCAGTGTTACGACCCGTCTAGGGGTCCAGGTCATAACACGAGTGATCCATCCTCTTCAGATCTCGAGCGAGCAACACACACACAGTTAAACATTTTAGAACGTTTTTTTATTGTAAAAAGATGTATTTTTTTGTAGACTGAAATATTACAGCTAGAGGAGCATATGTCTTCAGAGTGAGCTAAATGCCAAAAACAACAAACAAAAGAAACTACTTCCTGCCACAGTCTCAAGTCACGACTGTTAATTGGTCTCAAAATTCTCCTTAAGCATAAGTACAAACATTAAATTGTGAATAAAATAACAGACATTATATATATACATATATATATATATCTGTCTATCTTTGTCATCCTGATAGTGACACATCATCATGTTATAATTAGCATTAGTAATGCCTTCTTTTCTTTAGATGAAACCCTAAACCTATGAATAAAGTGAAACCGTTTCATATTAGTTGATATCAATAACTATTGATTACTTTTAAATGTCTGAAATACTTCTAAACTTGTGGTGTAATCCTTCCTGTTTAAGAAACGTTTTGTCTGAACTTTTAAAAAAGATTTTAAGCAGTTTTAAGGCAAAACATGAAACTGCTGTGGCCCAAGTTACTCAACGGGTTGTTGCTATGTAACCATAGAATGAGTGAGTTGCTAGGTAACCATAGAATGAGTAATTTAGTTGATTCCACCCAACTTGCTTAGTTACCTGTGAAAGGTTTAGTAGCTAAAGGTTTAGTAGCTAAAGGTTTAGTAGCTAAAGCTTTCTGGGAGATGGGCTATGTCTCCCAGAATGCTTTACAGCGATTATTCTATCAAATGTATTATCTATCAATATTGATCATGTGTTTATTGATATATGTATTGTTTTTATTTATTGCCTCAAAGTAGATTTTTTGTTTTCTCCCTACAGATGTCATGTAATATTTGTGGCTCTAAACCCATTTCATTCAGCTGGCCTGGGGTCAAAAATGACTTGTAATTGTAAAGATGACAGACTTTAAAAACATTTTACAAACATTAACAAAATATTGTGCCTGGAGATCAAATTTAATAGGAAAAAGTAATTATTCTCACAGCTAGTTCTGTTCAAAACCAGACTGAAAGTTCAGAATATTTATACGAAACTGAAAAAAAATTTTCAAAGAAAAAAATGGTTGAATGTCGGCATCTTGTTGAGAAACTATGGGAACAGCATGTGTCATACAACAGTGGTTCCCGGGCCGTGGACCAGAACTGGTCCATGAACCAATTGGCACTGGGCTGCGCAAGAAATAATTCAATATTTCCGTTTTATGTATTACTTGAGTGAGTCTGGAGGATATTTTATTTTGAAAATCTCACCACGTGGAGACCAAGAATACCCTGTGCATAAGCAACACTTCGGATGTCATTGTCTCCCAGATGGGATGGCCTCGTTGCAGACAAACAAGCTCAGAGCTTCCATTAGTCGTTATCGAGAGTTAAAATTTTTACGAAAGTAAAATGTTCGCTTTTGTGGCGCATATGTATCTTATTTGAAGGGATATGTAAACGTTACCCTGGCGTCCAGAGTCAGAGAGCGATAGAGCAATTGTGGAGACGAGAGGAGAGGAGCAGAGCTTGTGAGGCTTAAGTCTGGTTCACACGGCATGATTTAAGGATTGTCGGACGATTTTCTAAACCTCTGTGACCACACACACGACACAAACCGATAAAAGTCCAACAGGTTCAATCGGTTTGTGTGTCGGCAGGAGCAACACACCACACACAAACCGATTCCACTTATGAATATCCCGATTCCAGAAGAAAATCCAGTAAAACCTCCAACATACCATTAGAATAACAAACATGTCCGACAATGTAGAAGCAGTAGTGATAGTTTAAGCGATAAAAGATGCAACAAAAACAAAAGGCATTTAATAAAAGATGGCAGGAGCAGCTGCTCTGTCTGTTGCACTTTGATTTGGAGGCGAGTTATATTTTTTCCTAGTTAACATTTTTAACAGAGTAAACATAACCCACATGTAATAAACATATATAAAAATGATCTTCACATATTGTAATAAACATTTCCACATATCACCTCCAATGTCCACTGGACTCTCAGTTGTGCCACGTCAACTGTTTGGGATTCCTCTCCATTCTTGACTGGTCCACAGTAATAAAAAGGTTGGGCACCACTGATAAAGGCGACTGAATCCAAAAATGTACACTGAGGCATTATTTTTCTTCAACTTTACAATTCTGCACTACATTCTGATGGTCTATCAGATCAAATCACATTAAATGAATTGGAACCTGTCATAGTATGATGAAATGTGAAGAAGTTAAGATGGATGACGACTTTTCCAAGGCACCGGTAATGAATTTTTGGCTATTGTTGGTTAAACACACTCATCCTGACTTACCAGACTTACCATTGTCGTACGCCAAGAACGTGGCTTCATACATGTTGTTTTTGACATACATGGACTCCCTGTCCAGCAAGGCCATTGTGGTGATCTGACCGTTGGTTCTGTTGATCTTCAGCCAGTTAGCTGGGTCGGAGAGCTTCGAGTACCTGCACCGACAGACAGACGGAACAAAAACAAGACTTCAATTCCATTTAAAACAAAAGGCTCATATATTTTACATCATGACTTTTTGCAGCTCATTGTTACTACAATAAAAAGCAACTCTACAGCTTTTTATTTGTAGATCCAAAGTGGCTATTATCAGGTTGAATGCTCATTACCATAACAAGCCGCAGCAGCCGAGTGCCTTTGAAACACCGCAGTGGCAAGGAGAGCGGAACATATGTTCGTCAAACTTATGAACGCGGCAGCTCATTAGCATCGAGAGCGAAGAAAAGCCCAGTGTACATTTGTGGAAAGGCTCGTAAACGCTACCCCGGCCCTGTGTACCTGCACGGATGCCGTCGCCGTCATCAGCACATTTACAGATCTCATTAACGCAGATAATAACCACCAACAGCTGACCGGGAGGAGGCAGGGAAGGGAGCCGGGTCTAATGAGAAACGGTTCATCACGAGTCTAGCCAGAGGGTCAGAGTGTGGCTATAACGACAAGAGATAGGGTTCAGAGAACGGAGGAAGGAAAAAAAAAAAAAACGGGGTGAGACAGACATCGCAGTGGAGTTTATCTGTAAACACGGGCAGTGGAACATGACGGGCATGAAAAAGGAGGCTTAATTAAAAGCAGAGAAAATCGGAGGCTGACAGCAGTCAGCCAGTCAGTAAACCAATATCACCTCCAGCTAAAGCCTCGTTGTTTCCTGAGCAAATGGAGCTGAAACCAGAACACTGTATGTCTTCTGTCTGACATTAAATCAGACTAAAACGTTTCTGTTTTAGGTCAGCTGTAATTACTATAATCATCACAGATGCAAGAAAAAAAAAAGACTAAGTGAATTTTTTCTTCAGCCGTCTTTTTAACGTTTCTTAATAGTGCTACATACAACTTGGGTGAATTTTTGGTACAACTCCATTCACTTCTCTTGAGTGTGTTCCATTCTTCTGGGCAGAACGAGTGTAATCGAGTCAAGTTTGTGGGCTGCTTTGCTTACACACGCACACATACACACCTTTCCCTGTTCAGTTTCTTATTGAGTACAATGATTTGAGATTCGTGAAGGCCAATGCGAAACATTAACCTTGTGATAACTCATTTTGAGGTATGATCAGAGTCATTGTCCATTAAGAAGACCCATTTTGACCCAAGCTTGGCTGATGTCTTCCTTTGTTTCAATATTTCTAGATAGTGTTATTTTTGTCATGACACCATCTATTGATAGAAGTGAACAGGTTTTGCAGAATTACTGCCTGCAACATGATGATGTCCTCAGATAAAAACCCTCAAAAGCAGCTTCACTAGAACCACAAGATATTAATGTGTTCGTGTCTGTGTGAATTTGCAAACTATAACTTGACTTCTTCCTTACAGAGTGGCCAGCAGAGGACTCGTGTCCTCTGTCCTGCTAGCTGTAGCCAGCGTTTTTCCATCAGGCCCTTTTTATTTATGTTCTGGGGTTAATAGCCGCACGTTGAATAAAATCAGTGAATCTGATTTTATTCAGGACACAGAATCCTTCCCCTTCCTGGACCCACTATGGCAGGACATTCCCATTATGTTTGTACTTGTGTGTAATTGTTTGAGCAGATGAACCCGGCCCATTCAAGAATTGAACATTTGCACCAAGTACGAACGAACTTCCAGAGAGCCACAATTTTCTTTCAATCTTTCATGATGTCACATAAGTGAGCAGAGCGTTCAAGCTAGTCTTCTTAAAACATACCCATTTCGCTAAAATGCTATGAATTAATCAATTAAAAGCTTTTACAGCCAGGACATTGTCCTTTTTTGTGCGTTCCCAAATTGTTTAAAAGCGTAGAAATCGTAATCTGAGGAAAGCAATAAAAATGTCTTGAAATCTCTTATTATTCAGGTGGTTAGCAAATTAAACTGTCAGATGGTAAGAAACAGTACATGCAAATATCCACTTCTAACTGTTCATAAACACATGGAAAGAGAAATAATTCTCCTTGTAAGAGCTTGCTGTGCTATTGGCCCACAGGTGAGGGTTTCGCTCTTTGCGCTCGTCTCCTCCCTCTGCCAGCAAGGCGTCATTCCTCTGCTGCACTTATTTGCAGCCGGCACGGCTAAATACCGTACCGCATCTCCAAGAACTTTTTCGTTAGTTTTACAGAAAGTTTAACCCTGATCTTTTGCTCTGGCTCCTGGAGATCTTCATAGTGGAAGATTCTGTCCACTTCTAAATATGGGAGATAAACTAACAATAGAAACATATGGGAAGCACTGGGATTTACTGGCCAAAATCTGGTCCTACATTGAAGGAGTGAAATGCTGTTCTTTCAGGCACATTTCATAAGACTGGCTGCTATCCATCTATATTCACCACTTGTAAACATCAGTAAATACCGTATTGTCATCGGGGCGACATCAACTTTGACGTGATTTGACATTTCAATATACTTTGCAAAAATATTTAAAAGGAATCTCAATCATGGAATCAAGATCTTGGAATGTTTTTTTTTTTTTTTTAATGTACACACACACTTTAATCTTTTCTTTTGTGCCTGTAGATTTTGCTGTGAAAAAGTGGAAGGAAAACGACAAAAAAGTTTTCCGAATGTTTCTGAAAATAAAAGTCTGCACAGTGTGATGTCCAGCTCTCCCCCATAACTGACACACTAAATGTCAGTAAAATAGGGTTTTCCGTGACACAACACGGTGGTTGTTGCATCATGCTACGGGGGGAATCCATTCCAGCTGTAATGAAAAATTGCAAGTGGAAATGTAATAAAAAACATGCAATATTTTTCTTCCACTTCACAGTTATGCACCGCTTTGTTTGGATTTATATATAATTTAGCTTATGCAGTTGATCAATTAATTTCATAATGAACCAAAAATAATTTGATCATTTCTAATCTGATGATTAATATTTTCTCAAGTGCAACTTTGGTTTACAGAGATTCCACAGCCCATTTTATTTATTATTTATGGTTGTTGTCTTGTATTTCCAATATGTAAAATATCTTCTAGTTCCGGTGTTAAAGTGTTTTTTACAAAATTAAAGTTTGTTGGTCTTTTTAATTCAATTTGACTCGATTCAAAAATACTTTATTGAAGCCAAGGGAAAATTAAATGTTGTTATAACTCATATTAATTCAAATTCTTTAAAATTGCATTAATATGCCCTTATCCAAATATCATCAATACGTTGGAACAATTTTATCGTTTATCGTAATAATTACCGGGACAATTTATCGTCCAGCGAAATTTGTGACATGATTTATCGGAATTTGTAATCCCGGTAAATCATATCAGTTAATGGAGAAAAAAATAAAATAAAGGGGTATAAATGTTTCTGAAATGGACCGCTTGTCCAACGGCCTGCCAGCGTCCAGCTCAGATCTCTACCAACTGAATAATCTTCATCACGGTCTCGCATCCCAAACAAGTGTCCTTGCTTTGCAGAAAATAATCAACACTTACAAGGAACGCATAAGGACACGCGCACAAACCCACATTTACTCAGCCTCGCCGCCTCTTAAATCCCATCAAACAGTAAAATCAGCTGGCAAACAGTCTTGGCTTCACATAATCTTGTTTTCTCTTTCCTTCAGAGTGAGAGCACAAGAGACAGCGAGAGAGAGTGAACAAAAAGGCAAGAAATTCAGAATAGCATAAAACAGCCAAAGCTGGCTCCTCTCCCATCCACGACGCAGGGCTTTCAGTCATGCTCTGCGGGTACTCGCCTGCATGTCGACGGTGTGCATCTAGCAGCCGGTGTTTGTGCATTTTTGTGTCTTTTGTGCAAGGGGGTTCAAGCGAGGTGGCTGAAAGGGAACACGGGAGTAGAGACCATGCCGCCGTGGGCCGAGCGACTGCTGGAAAGACTCCAGAGGAGGAGAAAGCAGCTCTGAGCTCACATCAATGGGAGACACACTGACCGACAGAAAGGAAAATGACTGGGGTCACCGGGGAGGAGGTTGAGGGAGAAAAGAGAGTGCGGTATATGGAAAGTAACTTCTTTCAAAGGGCAAATGAGCTCAGGCCGTTTGCATAAAGGAATAGACGGAGGCTCTTGTCACGCATGAGTACGCCTCTTTCTTTCACCTCTCTTTTGTCAATGCGGTAACATTTATGCCAGGTTTCGCCGCAGACACGGCTGCCTCCCTGACATTAAGAAAAATCCATCTGGTGCCGGCAACGGAGTGGAAGGGCGAAGCCGGACTTCGGCGGGGCACGTGGGAGTTTCCGCCGCAGAGAGGTCGATGCTGGGATGGCACCGTCCCCGCCGCGTGTTGTCCCGGCTACGGATCGATGAGGAGGAAGGCAGGCGTTCCGGGGAGGCCACGCGAACGGCTGTCCAGCTCGTTACAGAACGACCTCTTCACACCGGCTGCCTGGCAACTGACGGGAGGGGGAGATAACCGGGACGTGGGTGGGAGATCAGCGGAAAATGTCGCTTCAGAGGCGTAAGCTGTGAAGAAAGCTTTCAGCGCTGATTAAACGCCTGTGAAGCTCAATATTTTGTGCGCCGCGATATGGGAAGTGCACAAAATATTGGAAATGTTTAACGACAAATGAATACCACGCTTCAGGCCGATCCCGGTGCCTTGCTTGGGCGAGTGCTTTAATAGAAAAGCCAATAGTGGACGTGGATTTCCCCCCATGGCCAGAAATGTAAGGTCCAAACAGCTGTCACGGACGGCCGTGTTCGCAGTCAGCATATTAGCTTCCACACTAGTGCTTTCAAAGAGGTGCACTCACTTCCAGTTTGAGAGACTTTTTCTTTTTTCTTGTGACACGCTCTTGCTCAATATGGACCCATCTTAAGGACCAGATTTCTGTTTGGACTTTGAATGCCTTTTAATTCCTTTTGGAAATGATTTATTTTATTGTTAGACCTTTATTTCACCAGATGAAACGGCACTGAGATCAGGGCCTCTTTCACAAAAGTGACTTGACTGAGAAAGGTAGCAACCCACATCATAATGGGTAAGTTATTATACAGCAAAAGCAAAATAACAAAAATGGATCCGTTAGCTGTCTTATGGTGACCAAGAGATCTGCCACCTAAACATAAAAACGCACCAACATATTCTTAATTGACTTCCTGATCAAAACACTCTTTTACACTTGACTTTCACGACATGATACAGGTTTGAATGATTGAGTTGCTGAAACTCAGTCAGGAGTTTTGACACATTATGATTATAGAAAATACAGAGAAAAATGTGGGTCAAACACAAATATAATGTCCAACCAAAATATCGCCATTACATGTCAAACTTGTAAACATAGTTGATTCAGGCCGCAGGAGAGTGAGCGAAAGCAAGACTTCCATAGAAAACAGGAAGGCTGATGGTATTACTGTCAAGTTTCTTTACTAAGGTATTGCTAGCCTCAATAACCGCAAATACACAATGCTAATGATGTGATCTGTACCAGCTGCCTGACAGAACGCCCAATGGTGAACTTGTATTATACAAGGCTTTACTTGGACTCCAGCTGACCTACATTTTTGGACTCAGTTGCACTGAGAAATGTTTACCTTCATAGTTTGTTTTTTTTCCACACGACTTGGCATTTTCTTCTGTTTCTTTTGCCTGGACAGAATTTGGTAAGTCCATTCTGTTCCATCTTTTTGGAACTTACTTCAAAAAACTTTGAGATTGACTGAATTAATGCTTTAACATTCAAACTAAAAGTTCTTGAGGGCGATTCAGCGACGTAGCCTGTCATTTTCTTCTAACTGTGTCATTTTTTGTGTTGTATTAGTTGCTGCATCTTGGTCAGAAGGATTCGATTGGAAATGAGGTTTTTAATCGCAATTGGTAATTTGGTCCTGGTAAAATAAAAGCAAAACAAGACAGTTTAAAATGTCACCTTGGTGGTGTTGTTTTTATTTATTTATTTTTTTTGTCCGTCAAGTCACATGCTTCAAAAAAAGAAACTGCCGCTCTCTGCAAGACGACAAGGAAAAAAGTGTTTCGAATGTTCGTGGAGAAATCAAAACCGAAAATTCAAAGAGCAAAGCTTTATGTATTTTTCCGTACCTGACAATTTGGTGGATGAAGTGGTCGGGGTCCTGAGCTGCGAACACCGTGAGTGTGGTCCCCGCCGGCACGCCCTCCTCGAAACGGATCGTCTTGGGGTTGACGGGGAAGACCGGCGGCTCGTTGACATCCTGGACAGAGATGGTGACCCCCGCCGTGGACTGAAGCGAGGACTGGATGTCGCTCGCCAGGTGGGCCTGATTGGACACCACCACCGTCAGCATGAAGGCGCGGTTCATCTCGAAATCCACCGGCTGCGAAGTGACGGCATGGGGTGAGACGGTCGATAACGACGGGGACAAATCACAACCACATGCAGCTCTGGTTTTACCTTGACCACTGTGAGCATTCCCTCATTCGTGATGGGATTTGTGCGGATGGTGAAGTGTCCCGACGGATCGCCGCTGACGATTCGAAAGACAGCGTTCCAGTTGGGGGTGTGGGCCTGATCCCTGTCCATCACAGTCAGGTTGGTTACCACGACGTTCACCTTGTTCTCCTGCACCTCTCCGGAAAACTGCACAGAGGAGGAAGGGAATGGACGGCAGGAGAGAAAAACATGAAGACGATGTCATCATAGAAGTTTGACCATTTGCTAATAACCTGATTTATTGACTTTTGACTCATTCACTTGCGCCGTCATCCATCTTTCGAGGATTTTGCATAATTGCTCTCCACAGAAGCACGAACCCGAAGCGGTCGCAGCGCAAATCGGATATTAGAAACAGGGAGCGGCGGAAAGAGAGGAAAAACCGACACATTTGTCCAAATGTGGATAATACAAAATGATATCTTCCATTATGATAATGCGGCGCTTCATTCTGCACCATATCTGCACAGATGCAACTCTTTAATTGAACAAATGGATTTTTCAATTAAGTGTTTACCCATTTAATTTGGATTTTGTGCATGAAGCAAATCCAGGTCTTAATAAGTAATTAGATAAGTGCTGTGATTAAGACAGCAGCAGGAATAATCTCTGGCTAATGATCTTCATTATATTGCAATCTTAGACAACTCTCCTATAAACTAGCTTGTGGAGGAAGCTCTGTGACAGCTGGAGAGCCCGAAGAGGAATTTACAGCACAATGGGAAGCTTTTATCTAGATGTGAAGGGACAGGCACTCCAAGGTAGACGTGTAAAATTTAACCCCTCAATCCAGTTTTCCCACTGGACATTTTAACTGATTTTATTTAGCATTTGTGTGACTAAAGCCACTTCTTTCCCCCCTCCTTCTCTTCTGATTTAACTCCTCTCCCATTCTCCTAGTTAATTTAGTCACAAACGTTTGATTCGGATGTGCCGAGCTGGAAAACGTGCAGAAGATCGGCCTTTTGAGAACCGAGAAGAAGATGACCAGCAACCTCTGTCAAAAAGCACTTTTATTTTCCTTTCTTATTGAAATTGCGACTGTGATTCTTCTCCGGCAGCGTTTTGATGATTGGCAACGACCCTGGCGAAGGCCGCTAGCCAAACGCCATGGTCCTTCACCTCACCACAACCTTCGACCTCTTTAAGCCAGAAACGCTTGGATCACTGTGGCAATGGGAAATGTTCTTCAGGTGACAGAAGCCCAACTTTATTATTGTCTTTATGTGCATTTATCTTTATCTTTTGTTGTCAAATTGGAAGTAACATATTAGCTTGGTTTACAAGCGGTCGGTTAATTTTGCCTAATTAACATACACACACTTTCCCTTTGCTCCCTCCTCCACCAGAAACCAATAAACTCTTCTTGCGTCTGTCAGAAAATAATAATAAAAATAAATCCCTGAACTGTTCCAGATTGCGTTGTTTGTGTGGGAAGCAAAAGCTAGTTACAAAGTAGTGGAAAAAGCAAACAAACATTATTTTTATTCATTTCTACTCATTACCATATCTGAGTCACACACCAGGATAACGTAAACCTGCCTTTTAATAACGACCTTGTTAGTTTGTTGAGCATATACAACGCTTTGCAAAGGCATTTGTTTGCTTTTTCCATTTTGTTACGTTGCAACCACAAACTCTAATGTATTTTATTAGTATTTTATGTGCAAGTGAGCTCATATTTATAAAGTGGGAAGACAATTACACTTTTTGCTCTGTCTTTCAGTAGAATCAATAGAAACAGTAGAATCTGGGTGCAGTGATCGACTCGGTCCCGAACATTCAGAGACACATAAAGATAATTAGAAAGTCAGCCTTCTGTCACCGGACGAACATTTCTAGGATTAAAGGACTGATATCCCGGAAAGACCTGGGATTCTCTTTTCAAAACTAATATCACTTTTGGACAATGTTTACCACTCACAGAGAGCATCACACTGAAACAGTCTGAATTAGAGACCAGCTGCTGCATCTGATGTGCACAAAGGAACATCATCATAGGTCCTTCCTGCCGTCAGCAGTTGTTAGGCTGTATAGCTGTCTAACAACAGAATAAGCTTTTTCCTTCTAGTCCTTCTATATTGCTTTGTAAATACATTTTCTGCACTAGTTTTGTTGTTTTTCCTTTTCCTATTAGAAATGTGAATTACTTAGAATCAGAGCCAAGCAGCTTTTTACTGTTTGTTTTCCTTGTCTGGCTTAAGTTCTAAAAATACTGACATTCTGTTCATTTCTATGTTCATCATTGTTAGAAGGGTGCTGCCATGCGAATGTGCAACTTTGTGTTTAGTCTCAGTTTGTTATAGCAGTCTGTTCTGTTCTGTGGGATTTTGTTCTCTTCCATAAACGTTTGTGTTTTCCGTTTGGACTCCAGTCTCTGTTCGTCTCCTTTCGTGTTAATTAGTCTCTCTCCCTCAGGTTTCCCCACTTGCGTTCTGTCGCAGCTGTTCCTTATTGCAGCTGTTCCTTATCGCCTCCGATTAGTTCCTCTGGTGCCCTTTTCATTTTTCCACGCCTGACTCAGCATTTAAACTCTTCTCGTTTTTTTTACTGTTCACTTCTGGATTATTATTTACAGTTTGCCTGGTTTTTTTGCATTTGAGGTTTTTCACAGGTGTTTGTGCACTTTCCACTTTTCCCGCCACTCTGCTGCTGATTCATTTAATTTCCACACGGACAGATAATGGAAATGCTCCACTCTGATCTATTCTTAACCTGATTTGAACATCTCAAATTTACCCCTGAGCCGTCGGCTGTGTTCCTTGTTTCTGAAATGCTGTTTGTTCGGTGTTATTCTCCAACAAACCTCTGAGACCTTCAAAGGGAAGCTGGATTTACACTGAAACTTCAAGTAGATGAGCTCTGTTCAATAGTCACATGAAGGCCTCTGGTTACACTGCATTTAAAAAAATAAAATAAATCACACAACCTTTTCCTTCCACTGTAGATTAGCCTGTAGCTGTACTGGAACACAAAATGCAGGCAGGGATCTGAGTGTCTGACCCTGACACACACTCGCCCGCTTTGCAGTAAGCACAGCGGCGCTTCTGTTTGAAATCTCTGAAATCCAACTCACGACGAGCGCCCACAAGAGTACAGTAGTTCTAACGGACCTGTCAGCATTCGGTTCTGCTTTATCACCCAGAAGGTAACAAAGAAAAAATAAATAAATATAGAGGGAAAGCGAGGGATGCTCCCGTTCAAAAGCCTCCACGCAAACGTTTGAGCTCCGAGAAAGCCCGCCCTCCGAATACTGCTTCTTCATCAGAACCAATCGTCTTCTAGTAATTCTCGCCGCAAACGAAGCGGCTGTAAGGTGCGGTGCTGCTGGAGGAAAATCAGACGTGACGGAGGCCAGACACCTGCAGACAAAACCAGGCAGAGGCTGAGCAGAGACAGAGAACAAAAGCACAACTTCATCAGCACCTTTTAGTTTCCCCCCCATATGTTGTGTTTTGCAAAGTGTTCCTGTAAGTATTGTTCTCAGCCTGCTCTCCCACATCACCACCCTGTGCATTCCCACATTTAATTGGCCTCTCCCAGAAAAAGCTAAGTTTGCTGTTTTTATGCCGACAACACAAAATACATCTGCATACAGAATTTAAGAGTTTGGAGGCACAACACCCACCGAGACCATTTCCACCTCTGGTAAAACGAGATTCTCATAACCAAGCATGGAGAGCCGACCTGAAGATCAACACACATCTGTCGTATTTGAATGATGCGTATACTTTTGTCTTTCTGCTTTTGAGGAGTGGATAAAGTAAAATTGCTGCTCTGTCATTTCATATTTGGTGAAACAGAAGGTTGTGAATTGTGAATCAATTTGACAAATTAAAAAAGTATAAGTGACACAAGAAGAGTGCCATCGGTTGTATAGATATAGGAGGCAAAAAAAAAAGCAAAAATAAAATATTTAATCACTTTTTAAAATGACAAAATTTTAATTCAATGGAAAAAAATAAGCAAATTTCAGCCATCAAAATATTCAGAAATTCTGAGGTTTATATCAGAAATTCTTTCGAAAGAAACTTGGGAACTTTGGTGTTTGAAAAATGGATTTTTTTTTTTTTTTTTACTTTCAAGCTCAGAAATTTTCCATTAGAGGTTTATTTTATACTTTTTAAACTCAGGAATGCCAAAGTTTTTTCCTGAAAAATTCTGAGATTAATCTCTTTCCTAGCAAATGTCTGACCTCAAGATCATTTTTTGGCAGAAACTTCTTCCTTTTTTAAAATTTTCCATCTCCAGCCGTGTGTTGTCATAAATCTGTTTTCTTGATCACAAAATGCCAGTTAAAATAATTTATTGAAACGTCATGTTCTTTACTCATCTTTCTAACGCGCTTGGTTGTTAAATCAATCGAGCCGCTTGGCTCTTCAAGCTGGCATAACAATCGCTAAACTGAAAAGGTTCCGCTGAGAAAAAGGCAGCAGCATCCATCCGGCGACCTGCTGTGGAGGAAAAAACCCACCAAAGAACCCAGAAGCCACCAGGCAGCGTTCAGGCCAGACAGACGGAATAATTGTTCCACACGAACAGAAGTGAGAAAGAAAAATAAAAACATTCTAAAAGTCAAATCTTTTCTCACGTTGACTTACCGTCCTGCCTGTCAGTTCTGGTGGGTTGTCGTTGATGTCGGTGATGGATATGAGCGCCGTGGCCGTGTTGGAGAGCCCAAAGTTCAGATTGCCCTCCATGTCCGTGGCCTGGACGATGATGGTGTACTGTGACACTTTCTGTGAACAGAAACGGAGAGATCGTGCTCAGCCGCCGGCTGATCCGGTAACAAATAGACAGCGGAGTACAAAAGGGGAAAAGCAAATATCGTCCGCGAGACGCTGATCCAAAGGACAAATGAACCGTTAATCTACGACTCTAGCTCGACTTGCAGCCTGGGATTGCCCGCAAGATAATCCTTCCGTTCATGGACCAGCCGCTCACTGGAACAACTGTGTAAATGGAGCGACCTCGCCCGCTCAATACCACTCTGCAAACGGCACAATAAACAAAGACAAACAGACACGCAAAGTTTAAGAGAGGCAACAATGAGTTGGTTAACAGGCCCATTTGTTACTGTCGAAAAGTCTGGGCGTTCTGCTGCGGGAGCAGAGCCGGGTCATCACTCACTCTAATGAAGGTGCCGCCACTTTAAGATGCACAGGAAAAGCTTTGGCTAATGAAAGGAGGTGAAAGGGCTTTATTTAGTCCAGTGATGGTGAGGAGGAGCCGCGCGCCGCACTGAGGGACGCAGGCTAATGTCAAACGCACGTCAGTCGTTTCTGGCATTTATTGATATTATTCATAATAATTTATAATAATTAAGAAGAAAAATAAGAGGAAAAGGAAACAACAGCCAAATCCCTTTCATCAGGTGAATGTTTGTCTGTCAGCCAGTTTTTTATAAATGGGTTCCAACATCAACCATGTGTCACGTTGAGCTCGCTGCAGTTCTCATTTGAAGCAGAAGGTGGCACTACAGAGTATCTGTACTTATAAGAGGAAATATCTACAGGAAGCATTTTGCTAATATATAACTCTTGCAGAGCCCCTGAGATCCGATGTTAAGATCTTTATCGGTTCGCATATTGACAAACAATCCAGATCTGGTATTACTCTGAGCAGCGTTAAGCTCCATCATTTATTTTAGATTATTTCTTTAAAATTCCTAGTTGCACTTTCTGAATGAATTGAACGAAGGTCTGTTGCAGTTTTTTGTTATCTCTTTCAGTTTCTTTATTATTTGTTTATTTATTTTATATTACATTTCTAACTGCACTGACTGAACAAATGACAGTTGTCTTTGTTTTATATGTTTGACCAAGCTTGTGAAGATATTGGTGTATTTAAGTTTGCTGCACGGGTGCAGAGTTATCAAATAAATGAGCAATTCGGTAGATTTCCGTCTGCGTTTCCAGAAAAAAAAAGAAACGTTTTTAAGTACATTTGGTGGAATAACCAGGAGGTTTTCAATGGGGTTCAGTGCAGTGGGCTCTGAATTTCTTTCCAGAGCTGTACATATGTGGATGAATAATAACAGGTTAACGGCAAGTAAACAAACTAAGCTGAGGTCTTTATCTGACGTGTCAAATAAATTACAGCCAACAGAAAAGTGCAGAAACCGAGATAGTTTGTAACCGAGATAGTCGAGAAGGACATAATTCATTCTAATAAGAACAATTTGACGTTCTATATTCTTCTTCTAACACAACTTTTCAGTAGACACTTTTTTTTTGTCCTTTGTAGCGACATCTACTGTTTAAAATGAGAACTGCAGCATGCCTGAAGATGATACGCAGCATTATGCAGAATCTGTGTTGATGCCAGAATTAGCTAATGGTTGACCCTACGCCGGGGCGTCAGCGGCAGCACGGCGGAGAAACATAAGATGTTGAACTCTGTTTAAATGCGGCTGAATCAAAAGGAAAAGAAAACATGAAGGCAGAGCGTCCCTGCTGACAGGCTCTGTCCGTGGTACTGAAAGTTCATGCTGTACTCAGATCCAACCACCCAGTGCAGGGTGTGTGTGTGTGGGTGGGTGTGTGTGTGTTTCCACCCTGGCTGTACATAAGCCTCCCTGCATTGTGGTTTCTTTTTACTCCTATAAATCCATGTGGCTTCATTCTGCCAGAGAAGAGAAAGGGAGAGAGGGAGAGCGAATGGAAATCAAGGACGGCCCAACCATTCACTCCATGGGACCTGCTCCTTTGTTCAAACATCCACAATGAATCTTACAGCGACGGTCTAAACGTCTGTTTGTTACGGCGCTGGCTTCAGCACATTCATCCGCCCTCTGGAATGACTCCAAGTCCAGTGGCACTTGCGATTCTTTAAAGAAACAGGAACGAGTCTGAACAGAGGCGTGGTGAGCCACAGATTCGGGAGATAGCGCTTCCCATGTTTCGCCTTTTTATTTTCCCCCTCTTTCTTCTCCCTCTGGTTTATTGTGTTCTTTGGTAACACACATTCTGAGCTTCTCTCGGTCTCCTCCCATGTTGTGATTTGTTTGTTTTTTTTAATCACATCTTGGCTGTTCATGTCATTTCTCAGCCTCTCTCTTTTCCTCTCTCCCTCTTTCTTTTTAAGACTACAAGGAAGCGGTTGATTAGGAGATCGGCCGGCGCCGTTCTGCGTCTCTCCCGAGTCATTATGAAGTGCGCCGACGTGTTAATTTGCACCAAACCAGTGCTATTAATGAAAACTCAATACTGGCTGCCCTTTATTAGATTCATAATGAAATATCAATACCATCTCGCCTCATCCAGGGCCTCGGTAAACAGACCCCCCCCGACTGAATGTGTCTCACTGCAGACTCATTGAGATCCAGTCGCATGCATCGGTCTTGAAATAGCAGCAGATGGTTATGAGGAGCAAACAGGCTGGAGCTTTTCGACGGATGCGTCACATTTCTCAGGTCAGGGGACGAGAAGCTGAGCCGGAAGGTGGTGCTAACGCTCGGTGGGGGGTTGGATGGTGGGAGGGGGGTCCGTGCCACCCTGCAGGGTTATATCACCCATCTGAGAGTAGTCACAAGTTTACGGCCTTCCTATTGCACACATATGCATCCATTAACCCTGCGGTGAGTGGGAACAGGTGGGACTCAGACATGTAAAAGCACTCGGCCGGCGTGTGTTTATGCGCACCGAGCGCGCCCGCCGCGGGAGCACTCTCCTGTCCAAGCAGGAACCCTCTAATGAGACCAGCAGAAGTGCTGAACAGAAAAAAAGAAAAAAAATCTCCCCTTCAGATTAAAGTCCAGCACTGACAGAAAACGCAGCTGCTTGTCTCGCAACCACACAGGCCGACAGTCCACGCCAAACTCAATCTGCACGAGCAAGGAGCCATCGGAGACCGGAGAAACATCTGCACCATAAAAACCTCCATTTGCTTTTTTTTTTCTTCGCACGGCCCGAATTAGGCAGCTCGCCGTCCAGGAGACGGAACACAAATACTGTGAAATGACTTCCAGTTTCCAACGTTGACTCCTCATACTGCCCAACAGAGCAGCTGTCAGGTGAGGTGGAACGAGCGGGAGGTTCTTAATACGCAAATGAAAGAGCTCCAGTGAGACGGTGTTAACCAAAATAGAGACGGACTGGAATCTACAGTGTGCAGCTTTGATAAAAAAAAAAATGTCTTTCACACATTAGATAAAACTGGCACAATGTGGTGATAATTTGTGATGAGACAAATAATCTGTGAAAACATTTTTTTTAACTCCATCTCCTTTTGCTGTCTGAAGAAATGCACCTCTGGTCAAAATGGAGGAGGGTATTAGTGTTTTCAATCACGGCCATAAATGTGCCAATGCTGAAGAAACTATTTGCCGTTCCAGAAAAACTGTTTCTCCGCCGTCATTGTTGGCTATGCTAACTAGCCAGAACATTTAGCCAGCTGTAAATGAGTCAGCTGAGGTGTGGCTTTGCTTGATTGACGGCGCTAAGTCCCTCCTTCCGACTCCTGACCAATCGGTGTATTTCTAGTTAGCACTGGGAGGAGGTGCAGGAGAGGAGCTCTTGTTTGTTTGTTAATAAAAGCCATATACTCCTGATTTGACGTTGATGTGAGCTGGTGAAGTGTGGCTTCGCGGGCAGGTGAGTGAGTTATCTTAGCGTCGTGCGGTTCTGCACAGAAACTCAGGGAGGGAAGAAGAGCTGGAGACCAGATGAGTGAGGCTTGCTGCTGTCTCCACTCGGCTGAATTGTGATCTGGCTTGCTGGGCACCCGCCGACCACACTCATTGGCTTGTCACTAGTAATCTGTGTCAAACAGTCCCAGCTCCCTCCGCCCCCCTCCCTCTGCCCACGCCAGTGAGTCGCTGACCCCGTCTCCCCTGCGTCGCTGCGATCGCTTAACGTAGCGTTCTCAATTTAAACCCACTTAATCACTTTTTAATAACCATAAAGCAAGTCTGGGTGTGAAGAGTTTTTTTTATTTTTCTTTTTACTTTACACAGCAAAACTTCAAAATATTTTGCCTTACAAAAATTCTGAAACGATAGAACCACAAACTTTGCAAATAAAGTTAGAAAACATTTAAGACCCTTTTTGGTGCTTTTCTATATTCGGTGCTTTTCTATACGGTTAATTCAAATATTGTACTGCTGAGGAGGGAAAAACAAAGGAAGGAATAAAGTTATTTGAACATGGATCTTAAAGTGTGGGGATATTTGTCCTGCTGAAAGTTTCAAGACATTTCCAGCAAGTTTTCGTCCAAAACTGGAGTGAGGAAGACAAATATTAGCTCCATACATCTTCCCATTAAAACTGAGCTTTCCTGTCCCAGCTGAAGACAAGTGTCACCATGTCATCCTGTCAGTTTGTGTAGATGTCTTTGCATGAAATAATACTCACAGACGGTAAAAACTTAGGAGATTGTTTAGATCTGTTCCGGCTGTAAACTCCCCCATAACTTGTCTGGAACTGGCTGGATTTCATTTAGGTATCAGAGTAGTGAGAGTTAATAAATATGCACACATAGGTCTTTAATAAAAAAAAGAAAAAAAAAGAAACATGCATCACTTCTAAGCAGTAAAAGATAAAAGAGAAAGAACTGCATATCCAGAGAAGTGTGTCCGTCCCGTTGTCGTCCCTGCATGGAGACGTCCGCCATACTGCGTTAAGGACAAAAGCAGTGATGGCTTCAATAAAACTTGCAGTGCGGAGACACGCTGTGGGCAGCGCGCTGCTCTCTGAAGGCTCTCAATCTCTTTTGTAGAGACACTGACTCAGATATGAAG